AGTGTTTCGGAGATAGAAGCATGGAAATGAAAAAGTTGCTAGCGATGGGTAGTCAGCTTGGCCTGGCGGGCGCTGAGCTCAGAAAATGGGTAGAGGATAAACAGCGAGAGGATCGAGCGTTTGCACGGCAGACAGCATAGGTTTAGCGCGCAGCCGCGAAGGAGGCTGACGAGCGTCAGATTCAGCTTATGCGCCTGAAAATAGAGTGTCAGCAACTGGAGAAGGAGACCAGAGAACAGGAAGGAAGCCGGGGAAAAGACGCGGAGCCAAGCATGAAACTGAACACAAGCAAGCTTCTCATCCCGTTCGATGACAGGAAGGATGAGCCTTGCGGAAAGCCAGAAATGGCCAGAGAGCCAGTGGTCTACAGCTCTAGCAACATGTCTGAGCGGGGAAGCACTCAGTGTTTACGGGCGGTTGCCGCCGGGTGATGCAGCGGATTACTCTAAGGTAAAGACAGCCCTTTTGAAGCGGTTTCGTTTCACGGCGGACGGCTTTCGGGACAAATTCAATTCAGGCAAACCGGCGGATGGTGAGACAGCAGCTCAGTTCTCGGCGCGTCTCAGCCACTATTTCGATCGCTGGATCGAGCTGTCCGATACGAAACACGAGTTCAAGGACCTCCGAGAGCTCCTGATTAAGGAAAGATTCCTACATGGGTGTCATTCCAACATGGCGCTCTATCTGAAGGAAAGGAAGGCGAAATCGTTGGGAGAGATGCTGGATCTAGCCTACCAGTTTTTAGAAGCGCAGGGAAGCCTTAACCTCGCCAAAGTAAAGAAGGATAACCGAGATGATATCGGGAGGCCCGAAACTGACGAGAAAAGAAGCAGTCAACGAACAGCGCCTCGCTGTTATCTTTGCAACCGCGTTGGGCATCAGGCTTCACACTGCCGGGCCCACACCACTAACACCACTAACAACCACAGCTTTACCTGCTTCAAGTGCGGACGAAAGGGCCACAAGGCGGACGCGTGCCGGTCAGGAACAAACGATAGGCCTCAGGCATCGTGCGTTTACTCCCCCGTCAGGGTGACGAATCGGGAAGGCATTCGCGACGGCTACCTAGAGCTGAAGAATGGGGAAAGAATCCTCGTCGTGAATGCAGTCATGATAACACAGCCAAAGTTTCTAGTCGAAGGACTGCTGGTGGTCGCCGGAACGTATGAGGGCAAATCGATTTCGGTATTGCGAGAAACCGGGTGCAATACGGCGATTATAAGAAGAGACCTCATCCACGACGATCAGCTCACAGGAGAGACCCGGCCCGTTTATGTAGTCGATGGAACAGCCAGGATGCTGCCCGAAGCGCGGGTCGAGATCGACACCCCGTACTATTCAGGGGTCATCACGGTGCTCTGCATGGCGGAGCCGCTCTATGACCTAATCCTTGGAAATATAGAAGGCGCGAGGGCACCCGATGACCCGAAGGCGGCAGTTGAACTCATCAGCAAAGAGCCCGCTGAGGAGGAAGCTGTAGCAGCAGTTGTAACGCGCTCACAAGTGAGGGACCAACCCCGAAAGTTCCAAACCCTCAAAGCCCCCGACGTCGCAGTACAGCCGCTAAACAGGGATTACGCGGATGAGCAGGAAGAGGACGAGTCGCTCAAGCTGTGCTTCTCTCAGATTGGCAAGAAACTGATGTGCAGAAATTCCGAAGGAAAGATTGAATTCCACCGCGAGGGTGTGCTACTCTACCGAAGTTACACCGAAAAAAACCGGACACGTGGTACGTCAGCTGGTCGTCCCGAGGTGCCATCGAGAAGCGGTATTGAAAACTGCACATGACGGAATAATGGCTGGTCATTTGGGCGTGCAAGAGACGAAGGACCGAATTTTGGAGGAATCTTTCTGGCCGGGCATCGCCGCAGACGTGAAGAGATTTGTCGCATCACGTGACATCTGCCAGAGAACAATCCCAAAGGGCAGAGTAACCCGTGTGCCGCTGGGGAGAGCGCCGCTCATTGAAACCCCATTCAAAAAAGTGGCCATAGACATCGTGGGTCCGATCCAGCCTTCCAAGCACGGAAATCGGTATATCCCGACTCTAATGGATTACGCGACCCGATACCCGGAGGCCGTGGCGCTGCCGAGTATTGAGACGGAGAGGGTCGCTGAGGCGCCAGTAGAAATGTTCTCTCGATTTGGCGTCCCGAACGAAGTCCTAAGCGACCGGGGCACCAATTTTACTTCTGACTTGATGAAGGAAGTTGGCCGACATCTCTCCATACGCCAGCTGCATACACCGCCGTACCACCCTATGGCAAATGGGATGGTCGAGAAATTCAATGGCACCCTGAAATGGATGTTAAAGAGAATGTGCGCCGAAAAACCGAGAGACTGGGACCGCTACCTGGCGCCGTTACTCTTCGCATACAGGGAGGTCCCCGAGGCAAGTTTGGGCTTCTCGCCCTTTGAGCTGTTGTATGGGCGGCATGTGAGGGGACCCCTGGCCATTTTGAAGGAACTGTGGACGAACCACCGCCTCGACGAGGAGGAGGAGGCAACCTATCACCACGTTTTTGACCTCCGAATTTGGGTGGAAGAGACATGCAAGCTAGCGCACGAGGAGCTCGCAAAGGCCGGAGCACGCTACGCGAAGATGTACAACCGGAAAACTAAAGAAAGGTTCTTCCAACCAAGAAACAAAGTGCTGATTGTGCTGCCTACCGATAACAACAAGCTACTGCTTCAGTGGAAACGGCCTTTCGAGGTCAAGGAGAAGAAGGGAGAGGCCGACTACATCATCGAGACAGCCGGGGGGGAGGAAGATTTTTCATGCTAACATGCTGAAAAAATACGAAGAGCGAGAGAGCCAACCGGTGGAAAGGGTGTGCCAGGCGATCTGCAGCGTCACAGACTCGGACAGCGATGGAGCCATTCCTGTTCCAGCGTTTCGGCAATCCGAGGACGAGCGAGATGTAAGGCTTTCTGATTGTTTGGGGGTGGATCAGCAGAAACAGCTCCGAGATGTGAATTCAGAACATTCGTGCATTTTCTCCGACGTCCCGGGCAAGACGGACTGGGCCGAGTGCCGGTTAGAGCTCACTACCGACACTCCGGTCCACGTAAAGCAGTATCCGCTTCCATTTGCGACGAGAGGGGGCGTAGAAAGAGGGGTGCAGGAGATGGAGCGACTCGGAAGAATTGAGAAAGCTCAGTCGCCCTACAACGCCCCAGTCCTTTTGGTTAAGAAACCGGACGGCACGAACCGCCTCTGCATTGATTTCCGGCGCCTGAACGACGTGTTGGTTGCCGATTCGGAGCCCATGCCCCGAGCTGACGCGGTCTTCGCTGCGGCTGGAGAGAAGAAATACTTTTTGAAAGTGGACTTCGTCAAAGGCTATTGGAAAATTCCATTGAGCGAAGAGTCCAAGCCCAAGACCGCATTTTCAACCACGTCGGGACTCTTTCAATTCCGCTTCATGCCGTTCGGCATAAAGACAGCACCCCGCCGTATTTTCGAAACTGATGCACCGAGTTGTGGAGGGAATTCCGGGAGTGCAGCACTACTACAATGATATCCTAGTTGCCAGTGCTACGTGGGAGGAGCATCTCACTTCTCTGAGGCAGCTGTTTGCAAGAATCGAGACAGCCGGACTAACAGTGCGACCAGGCAAATGTGAATTTGGAAGGGAAAACATCGAGTTCTTGGGGCATCGCATTGGCGGCGGTGAACTGGCACCACTCGGGAAAACACTCGACAGGATCCAAGCGGCGCCAGCCCCACGAACAAAGCGACAGGTACGAGCATTTCTCGGCTTGGCTGGGTATTACCGCGCCTTCATTCCCGACTACGCCAGAATCAGCGAGCCACTCACCCAGCTCACGAAAAAGGGCGGCAACAACGTGGTTGGGTGGACGTCGGCTTATCAAGAAGCCTTCGGGTAGCTCCAACGCCGCGTCTCAAGCCCTCCAATACTGCGACTCCCAGACTTCTCCAATCAGTTTGTGCTGCGCACGGATGCCTCAGATACCAGCCTTGGCGCGGTACTAATGCAGCGGCATGACGGCACGCTCCACCCAGTGGCATACGCTAGCAGAAAGTTGCACCCCAGGGAAGCAGGATACAGCACAATCGAGAGAGAGTGCTTAGCACTAGTTTGGGGGGTACAAAAGTTCGCCACCTACCTGTACGGCGTGCATTTCTTAGTGCAGACGGACCATTAACCGCTGAGCTACATCCAAAAAGCGAGGCAGCTAAACAGCCGAGTCCTGCGTTGGAGCTTGCTGCTCCAAGAGTATCAGTTTAGCGTCGAGCATATCAAGGGCAAGGAAAACATGGGAGCTGATTATCTCAGCAGGTTGTAGACTGGTCGCGTTTTATTTGCCTGCACTGTTTTGATATCTATATATTTTATTACATGTGTACTTTGATTTGACTTGCGTGCTCGTCTAGGCAAGGGTTATGTGGTGCATTCTTATTAGTACACAGGCCTGCGCGCCGACTTCTGTGGGTCTAGAATATTATGTGATAATATTCCGAAAGGGGGGGGGGGGGGGGCCGTGTCACAGAAGTAGTGGCATCCTGTAATTTATTTTTATTACGTTATGTAAACATAACGCGTTTTCGTTTCCGTACACATATTTTTTCCTTGTAGCCTGTATGTTTTCTCCGTCGCTGGTTCGGTTGCTGCAAAGGCACGTGTACGTGCGCGTTGTTGTTGTTCTGTTAGTTTCTTCCTAGTTAGCTCAACCTCTCGCGGTTCGCGAGCGGGGGTGTACGTGATTCATGTTTTGTGTCTCTTACTTTTTCCAACCCCAAAGTCACCCGCACTGCGGCCAAAGTCTTGAGCTCCATTTGTGTATTGGTAAACGTTTCTCGCCTGCAAGGTCACCCTTAGCAGGACAGAAGTTGTTGACGTAGGGGCCTCCTGTTTTAGCTATGTCTTACTTTTTCTAACTTCAACATGCCGGCCATGCAGTGGCGAAGGTGCCGTGCCTACGTGATCCTCCCTTAGCGCCCGACGCCGTTAAAAAGAAGCCGACTGGGCCGACTGGGCCCCAGCACCAGTCCGCTCTTCGGGGGGAAAGCCGCCGCCGCGTACTCCCGGGAACCCGAGCCGCCGCACCGCATCTCCGAGACCGACCACCCGCTGCCCCGGAAGGACCGCCGCTTCGAGGGCTGCTGCTCTACGTGTGTCGTGTCTGTGGATGGACTGCCGTCGTGCTCCCCGGTCAACTGTATGTCGCTTCAATTTTGAACTTTCCTTTCGACCGTCGCTAATTGGACTCTTACTTTCGTCTTGATCTTTGTACACGCGTACTTAACGGGATGTGTAACGTATTTCTCTGTGCTTAACTCGACATGTTTGTCGCTCGCAGCATCACTGTCTTGTAAAATGTACGTTCGGTTCCTTTAAATTCCCTTTATATGTTCATTTCGAGCCTATAAACACTGTTCTGTTGTTGTTAACTTATAACACGCCTCCGTCTCATTCTCTGCGTTTGCTTACCGGCTACGCCGGGCATCGAACGACCACCCCCTTATTGTCATGTCTCGGTGATGACCTTCCGTCGTCGCCGGGCTCGTGACAGGCTTGTTATTTCTGCAGCTAAGCAACAGTTGTCACTGGTCGTCGGAAAGATTAGTCAGCTGAGGCGTTGGTGGGCTTGTCAAGTTCGAGCAGCAGCCATTTTGAACGGCGGAAGGGGAAGCGGGGGGGAGGGGGTGGGGGGGGAGTGGTGAAGGGGAGGTCGCTCCAAAACTGCAAGTTTATCTTCCCCTCGTCAATTCGGAGCGGGTCCCACGGAGCGGAATTTCGCATCCCTCGCGGATTTCGGAAAGCGCTCCGGATCTACGAGTGGAATTCACCATCAGACAATGTTATGGTTCGGCTATTGTCGTCATTTCAGTCATTGGACACAGGCCACAACCCGAATGCTTCTCTAGCTAGCGATTATCCCGAGACGAAATTGAGTGCCCACACAATGCTCGAGACCAATCTACGGGTCGCATTCAAATATCGGATACTGCGATCCCCCAGTTTCGTCATCAAGTTTCGCGAAGGAGAGATTGAATGAAAACGCTTGCTTTGATCGTTGAAATTAGACTACAACAAAGGAGTTGCTTGGCCGGTGGCGTTGCGTGCGAGTATCCTTGAGTCCCACTAGTGCCAGTAAGCTCGTGTAAAGTGAAACATATTCCATATGGAATATCGTTGCACCACCCCTTTAACGGAGCCCAAATAAGTTCTTTAAAACTTTCAAACTCCTAGTATTTCAGTTTTTTCATTAATTGTATACCTTGAACATGGCACTGCTTGTAAAAATATGGGTTCATTCCGGAATGCTCAAGAACTGCAGGGTTAAAGGAACGAAGTTTAAGGTGTGCATCATTGGCGTGCACCCAAGCCAACAATGACGCATTCGCTCATGCATATACGTACGTCAGTTGGCGTGCAGAAAGAAAGAAAGCGGACAGTGAGGCTAAGCAAAGTCTGGCGATGCTTGCAAAAGATCGACGCTCGTGTGGCAAAAGTGGCACACAAACCACACGATTCCAATCGAGGAGATAAACACTGAAATCTAGCCACACTGCTTCTTTCAATCAGCTGGGCGCGAAAATAGCATACGACGATTGCGCAGTTCTTTTCCCCGCGCCGATTTGCTTCGTGAGAATTTGAGCTAGGCTGAGATTGCACAAGTGCGCTATAAACCAAAAACATACCCACTTGCTGTGTCCCTGGATGCGCGAGTGGGTACGAATCTCGGCGCAGAGCAAGAATACATTTCTTTCGACCACCACAAGGTCCTGAACGCTCCAAGGCCTGGCAAGAGGCGATACCTCGACCAGAGTTACATTTGACTGCCACCAGCAGGGTATGCGACCTTCACTTCGAAAGCAGCGACATAACTAAGAATTATGAACACAAGGTTGAAGGACGAACAGTGCTCATCTCATGGGACAGCTGGCTCCTAAAAAAAGACGCGGGGCCGAGCATATTTTGATCGCCGCCGCTGTCGCTACAGTTTAAGCCAGCGACTAACAAAAAAAACGGAGAAAAGTGTTCACAACACCAAATCCATCTATGTTTTATGTGCGACCCACCTCACCTGATCAAATGTATCAAAAATCACCTATTTCGCCACCAGTATGGCATGGTAAGAGTAGTGGAAGAAATGCGCCTGTTTTAGCCCTTGCTGTAGCCAAACTATTTTGGGCCACATGCCATATCTTATTCAAATTTCGCACCCACAGATGGGCGAACACAAGGTCGACTTCAACCGCTACAGACTTATCTCCTAGGCAGACAGCACTGAGCAGCTACAAGCAGCCCACAACCTAACCAAGGAGCATGTGGCGCCGGACAACCTACGAAAAATGAACTTTAGACTTGCAGTTCAGGTAGGAATTTGAAGAGACAAATCGTGGTAAATTTCAGTGTTGCAGCAAAATTGATTGTTCAGATTTATTCGAGGTGAGTTACATTTATTTGTTCCTGGTTGTCTATCAATAAATTTCAGAGCTGGGAGCAGGAAAAAATATGACACAAAATGCACGAAATAAATGTATCGTGTAGGCAAACTAACGATGCATAGTTGAAAAAAAAAATGAACGCCGTTTAAAATTCTCTGTACGCCGAATTAGAGCGCAGCTCTTGAGGAGGAGGAGGGAAGGATACTTAGGGGAGGGTATACGCCTCCTCCCTCCTCCTCCCCTCCTCATCCTGCCTGCTACTCCTCCCTCCGAGCGGCGTCGGTGTCGCCGTCGGCGTAACCGTAAGGTCACGTGACCCTCGTGACGTCGCGAGACCCTCAAGACCCCCTGCGGGGGGTCACGAGGACGTTTCGACACGGTGCCGAAGCGTCACCAAGCCGAAGCGTCACCGCGGTTACGCCTACGGCGGCGGCGACGCCGCCCAAACCGGAAACGGGCGCCTAGGAGCCGCGCTCTAAAAAACAGGGACACAGGAAGGACAAAAAAGGGAACAGGAATATGTCTAAGCAAACAACATTGTTGCCCTGCTCCTTTTTAGTGTGTCCCGTGTCTGGGTTTCTTTCAGTAACTACACAATATCCACTTTTAGTTTCTACACGCCCACCTGGGGTGGAAACATTTGTGTTATGTGATGAGCCATCAACCTTACTTAAAAATTTACTGTGATATTCAAGTCGTAATAGTATATATATAAACAAAATAAAAAAACTGACAGTGTCCTCTGTATTCAAAGTCCTATAATGCTTGAAGGGCAATCGCTTGAAGGGCAAATGCATTCGTTTAAATTAATAAGAAACAAAAGCGTTGTTTGTGGGACTCAGAAAATACATTAATTTTAATCAATTTCTCGAGTACATCGAGTGGGGAACTGTGTGCATAGGTCACGGTAAATTTAGTGTGCAAACTAAATTGGTGTATGGGTCCCATAACGTCAATTTCCCCGCTAGATTTAGCGGGGAAATTTTTCCACTAGATTTAGCGGGGACATCTCTGCGCTAGACTTAGCGGGCAAATTTTTCCGCTAGATTTAGCGGAGAAATTTTTCCGCTAGATTTCGCGGAAACATTTTTCTGCTAGATGTAGCGGGGACATTTTTCCGCTAGATTTAGCGGGGAAATTTACCTATAATGCACCGCGCGGTTACGCCGACGGCGACGGCGACGGTGACGCCGACGCCGCTCAAGCCGGAAACGGGCGCCTAAAAGCTGCGCTTTAAAAATACAGTAATTTTAATCAATTTCTCCAGTACATTGAGTGGGGAACTGTGTGCATAGGTCACGGTAAATTTAGCGTGCAAACTAAATTGGTGTATGGGTCCCATAACGTCAATTTCCCCGCTATATATAGGGGGGATCTGAAAGTGTTTAAGTCATGTGTCGTTGAGTTCCTCGCGACATTTAGCAGGTAAACAGGTTTGGTGTAGAGGTCATGACGTGAAGTTACGTGACATCAATTTTTTTTAAAAATTTATAGGGGAAACTAAAATGGTGTAAAAGTCTCGTGACGTCCTCACGTGACGTCTACTTTTCCGCTGTTTTTCACAGAAGCTGAATTGGTATATAGGTCACGTGACATCACGTCATGTTACCATGCGGGGCTGACCAAACTGCTCTTCGAGCAAAAGATGGAGCAGAAAAATCTATATTTTGGAGCAGCCAAAGAGCAACGGCACCTACGGAGCAGTAAATATGCATTTTGAGCTCTAAGGATAAATTTTTGTATTCTGGAGCACCTACCTTAGGGGTAAGTGCGACATATATCTAAGAAATCATCTTCTCCAGTTGAAACATGCATTACAATTCAATCAAAGCAGGCTTGTACTGCAGATGCTGGAAAGTACTGAAGCCAAATTACTGTGAAATATTTTAAACTGTAAAAAAATTGTTTCGGAACAAATTTCGATTCAAATTGAAGGGGCAGGATTCGGGAACATTAGTCCTACAAGGTATGTTGCATTATATATCATAGTATGTACGATGTATTGATGTAAGAGTACGATGGTTGGATGCATAGATTCGGAGTTCAGTTAAAAAGCATTTCATGCTTTAAAAACTATCAAGGTTGCTTTGTTTTCTATTGTGTCACTTTTGTTTGTTTCAAACATGTTAAGGATATTGACCCTAGATATTACGCAACTTGCATCTGCCCTGGTATGGGTGAAACATGTCGTCTTCATTTTTAATGAAGCAAACAAGCGAGTGAAATCTGCTTGAGTGCGTTATCTGGCTTTCAGCTCTTCAGTCACAGCACTGCTTGTGGCCTGAGTCTACTAGCGGCTCAGCTACACTGGCCTTGAAAACTGCGGAGGAACTGTGAAGTTCACTTGAAGAATGAATGACGTCTTCAACGCACTAAGTGTGAAGCTGCCTGCCCAAGGTATAAAAGGATATTCAAAGGAAATCAAGGTAAACATAAAAGCGCCACTGGATACTGTATTAAGTGAAATAAATACCAAATGAAATCTAGTATTGTCATGTTTATTTAATACTTTCTTTTCGATACCACTAGCAACAGTATTTACTACAAGAGGAGGATGTTTAACCAAGTCCTAATTCGGAACCCAACGCTTTGAAAACTACTCAGTCTCTTTCTCAGGGGTCGTCGAGGAGCAGTGTTTTCATTTTCTGTTGAGGGGCAATATTTTCATTTTCGTAGGTGGTGGGTTTTTTTGGGAGTTGGTGATACCTCGAACCCCTGGATATAGGTGGATGGTAAAGCACCGAGGGACGTATTCATGTTTTCTGGCATAGTTCCACATTCCAAGAAGAGTTTTTGTCAAATGGCTAGTTACTGCAAGTGTTCTTAAAGTTTATGCGGTGAACCTTGAGGTTGTAGCGTTCACCAGAGGAAACGTACCACTGTAAAAAATATAAAATTAATAAGCGAAAACGAAAATATTGCTCTTCAACGGCCCACAGGCAGACTTAGCATTTTGCAGCACTAAACAACATTTAACAATGCCGTACCCCCCCCCCCCCCCCTATTTAACCACCGCTCCCTTTGGTCAGTAACCATGGGGAGCGGGGGTTGGGGAGGAGGGGGGAGTAGCTAAGTTTTGACTTAAAACTTTCAAAAGTAGCTAGATTCGGAACTAGCCCAGGCAGCACAGAGTTGGCCAGTCCTCGGACAATGGCTGGCAATGGTCCTTGGCCAAGTGGCCAGACAGAGGCCAGAGACTGGCCGGTGACTGACCCTTATCTGGCCATTGGCCAATGGCCACTGGCCTTCAGCCTTCGGGTAAGCATTGGCCAATGAATGGCCACTCTCTCGCCACTGGCCAAAAGACCATCGCCAGACATTGGCCATTGCTTGGCCAAAATTCGTGCTGCTTGGGAGAATTCTCAAAGTAGCAAAATTCGAGCTAGTTTAAAAAAAAGGAAAGACGTTTGCAACACCCTGTAAAGCTAAATTAGAGCGCAGCTCTTGAGGAGGAGGAGGAAAAGGTACTGAGGGTAGGATATACCCCTCCTCCCTCCTCCTCCTCCTTGCAACTCCTCACCCTCCCTCATCCTCCTCCTCCTCCTCGTCCTACTCATCCCGCCTCCTTCTCCTCCCCTCATTCTTCAATCTCCTCCTCCCTCCTCTCTTCCTTCCCTCCTCTTCCCCCTTCTCCTCACCCTTCCCTCCCCCTCGTCCTCCTCCCTGCGGGTTGCATGGAAAATGTCCCATAATGCACCGCGCGGGACCCTCGTGACACGTGACGTCACGAGTGACGTCACAAGGGTCCCGCCCAGTGCATTTTGGGACATTTCCCATAATGCACCGCACGGTTACGCCGACGGCGACACCGCACAGTACCGTCGTGACGTCATATCTGACGTCACAAGGTTACCACGCGGTGCATTATGGGAGGTTTCCCAAGATGCAACGTGCGGGGAGGAGGAGGAGGAGGGGACGAGGAGGGGAGGCGGAGGGAGGAGGAGGAGATGAAAGAGGACGAGGAGGTGAAGGTGGAAGAGGAGGGAGGAGGGGTAGCAGCGAGGATTAGGAGGTGAAGAAGAGGGGGGAGGGGTATATCCTCCCCTCAGTATCCTTCCCTCCTCCTGCTCGAGCTGCGCTCTAATTCGGCGTCACAAAGTGTTGTTAACGTCTCATTTTTAGGGCGCAGCTCTTAGGCGCCCGTTTCCGGCTTGAGCGGCATTGCCGTCGCATTATGGGAAGTGCATTATGGGAAGTGTTGCATAATGCACCGCGCGGGGAGAAGGAGGAGGGGTAGGAGGACGAGAGGGAGGGGAGGAGGTTGTGGGGGAGGAGGACAAGGGGAGGGGAGAGGGAAAGAAAGGAGGAGGAGGAGGAAGTGGAGGTGAAATGAAGAGGGGAGGACAGGAGGGAGACGGAGGAGAGGAGCTTGAAGGATGAGGGGAGGATGGGGAAGGAGGAGGAGGGGAGGCTGGGGAAGAGGAAGAGGAGGAGTAGCAGGGAGGATGAGGAGGTGGGGAGGATGGGTATACCCTCCCCTGAATACCCTTACCTCCTTGTCCTCAAGAGCTGCGCTCTAATTCGGCGTTACAGGGTGTTGTCAACGTCTTTCTTTTTCTTTTTAGAGTGCAGCTCTTAGGAGCCCGTTTCCGGCTTGAGTGGCGTTTAGTCGGCGTAACCGCACGGTGCATTATGGGACGAGTGACGTCACTGATGATGTCATCAGTGACGATGACGTCATCATCACGTGACCTCACAGGGGTCACGTGACCCTCGTGAGGCGACGGCGCCGCCGCTCGTAGGGAGGAGTAGAAGACAAGATGAGGAGGTGAAAAGGAGGGAGGAGGGGAATACCTTCTCCTCAGTACCCTTCCCTCCTCCTCCTCCTCAAGAGCTGCGCTCTAATTCGGCGTTACAGGGTGTTGTAAATGTCTTTTTTTTTTATTTTACCCAACCACACAGATTTCCATTGTATGTTTATGTTCAACATTAATGGTATATTATTGGAGGTAGACAATTATAGCGAAAAACATAAAATTACTGATTTATAAAAATACGTATTTGACAACACTGCAAACCTCACTAGGGCTCAAGCAGGCACAAACTAGATTTATGGTTCACTCATCATTCAACAAAGTTCAGGGATGAAATGTCAGTAGTAGTTCATTTCTTTCAAACAAGGGAGAGGAAAGAAAAAATAGTAGTTCATACGTCACTCTTACAATAATGTTTTCCTATTTGTTTGAGACCCGTGCTCGGTTACCAAGCAGTAGTGTCTCTACATAGACACTGCCGTCATGTGCAGAGAAACTACCACCAGCCCTGTCATTGAGTCGCAGTGACATATGGCCAAATTAAGTCTGCTACCGGTGGAGGATTATATAATAATAGGTTTATTTCCAACAAGAAAGGTACAGTGTTGGTGGGGGCTTTGGAAAAAAGCTGTGTGTACAGCTTGACTAGTCCTAAGCCCCCCTAAAGCAGCAGCTACAAGCAGCGTGGACGGAAAAAAAAAGAAATACACTGAGAACGCTAAACAAAAAAGAGATTGAACAGTTGGCAATGAGATATATGAAACTAAAGAAAATAAGCAGGCACTATAGAATAACGTCACTTGCTCATCGTTCAAGGCACTATAACAAAAAATACAATATTTAAGAGTAGACAAAAAATAGCACTGCCCCACATCGTTCAAGGAAAAACCAGAAAAATAGTCTACGTTAATTAATTGTACAATACACAAAACACAAGCACATTCCCCTTTACAAAAAAAAAAAAAAAAAAAATAAAAAAAAAAATACTCAGAAAATACACACAAAGGCACCGTTCAATCGTGGCCGATTTGCCCAGAGAGTATCATGTCCCGCAAGGTACCCACCGATAACGTGTCAAGTTCTATGTTGTGCATATGAAGGGGTATAAACTTTCACCCCGAAGTCTGGCAGTAAAAGTTTATCGTTTTCTTCACAAAAAACTCCTTTCGGTTGTCACTTTCACTATGGTTATTAAACAACACATTTAATATCGATTTCTTTAAGCACGTAAGACTAATAAAGAAACACGGGGTTACAAGTATCCGCTTCGTTCACTAATGCCCTTCTCAATCCGTAGAATCTTTTTTTGTTACCATTAAGGAATGAAACTTGCTTCGCAAGAGGGCGCCGCTGTAAGTGCGTTGTACAATTCTGCCAGAGTTTAAACCATACGTATTAGCGCTTTATTCTAAGCATGCCAGACACCTTAAGCACTCGCTAGATTACAGCCGGCATTGCCTCCGTTGTTTTGCAGCGGCCGTTGACGAACCTCCTCAAAGGCCAGTGTTGAGGAGGACACAGTATAATCTAAAATGGCAATAACCTGGTCTCCTATGGTAATGATAACGTGGAGTAAACAAAAAAAGAGGAAACAAAAACTGAAGGCCGTTTTGATTATAATCCTATATGAATGCCAGGACGAGTTTTTCCGAGATGTGCTATTATATTTTTTATACCGATATGTGCATAGCTGTTGTACCAAATGCATGTATAGTTCATATTCAGGAGTGCATTTTTGTGCCTCTCCAACGTTTTGTCCCAACCCACACCTACCTGAGCTCTCAGCAAAAAGCCAGCAGTACGTCTAAAAATATAAAGATGCAAAAGCACCTGCATCGAGCCTCTTCGGGAAAAAAATATCCCAAGAAATCGGAGTTAGGAGCTGGCGTCTACAGCTTTTCGACCCGCAAGTTCAGGTATCGCACTTATTTTGGCCAGAAATAAACGTAAACCGCCAATATTTTGAAAACTACGGGCAGCGATTGCCGCGGGGCATGCAGCAGACATCTCTGCCGCCTGCTATTGGTTCTAAGCTTCGTGACGTCATCGGTTGCATCCCAGAGCCAGCTTAGTTTTTTAGGAAGGGTCACCTGACCCCACCGATGACGTCACTTTTGCATGGTGTTTCTCCGCTCTCGCGCTCTAATGCGGGCTGTGCTACGTCGAAAGTTTCATGGGTGATTACCATGCTCCTACTGCTAAGATCGAGCAAAAATAAACTAACATGCGTCATTTTTCAAGTGCCTCTATTAAAACTTCATTCTTTATTTTTTTTTCATACTCAGGAATCCCTTTTGCTTCCCTCTAAATAATCGTGCAATCAAAGTAGCTTTGGTAGGTTATAAATCCTCGATTAAGTTATTGCTATTTTTATTATAATTGTTATTGCAGAACGGTATGTGTGTGTTGATAATATCCAGGTTTCAGATGAATGTAGATCTTGCAGCCAGAGGATAATTATTGGAGACTTGGTTAGTTCGCTTGCAGATGGGAGTCGTGAGCGTTCATTTCTATGTTTCATATTATAAAACCCCTTTGAGCATTAGTTTCTAGTTCTCCAAGTTATTTCTTAAGCATGCTCTGTAAATGCATACGAGTTGCAGTAAAAATGTAGTTTTTTTTTAAATCCTGTATTGATTTTACAACATTTTAATTTCAGGCATCTTCAAAGTACTCCTTAACTGATACAATGCACTTGTCGAGACGTCTCCA